ACTGCCCTGTTTTGACTCTGTGCTCAAACATCACAGGATCCTTGAGGGTGGGAGTTCCAATCACTTTTATCTTTCCCTCATGGTGAGTGAACTGCCTAAGGCCTGGTCCCACTTATTCCTGTGATTCAGGAAAAAAAAATATTTCTCTTTCATGCTTCTCCCCATATTGTTGTCAACCTCTGGCCTACCCCTCTATACTTTTCTTTCTCTGTCCTTCTGTTCTTTTGTGCCCTCTGAACCTCCCTTCTCTTATTAACAGACTCCCTTTCATCCTGGATCTCCTTTATTTCTTCATCTTTCCATTTCCTTGTAGTCAGGGAAACCTGCCATCCTTCGAGATGCGCTTTTTCTTGTGTGCTTCAGGATTCATGGGACTAGGATGAGTAAGAGTGAATTACAAATATTCTGAGAAGGGATCCATAGTCTTTAGACTGCCAAAGGAGTCCATGACACTAAAAAGATTAAGAATGTCTGCTCTAGATCATTCTCACTCATTCTCAAGGTGTTCAGTGCCTGGCTCATGTTCTTCCTACTCACCTTAGACCTTGCTCTCATACTTGAAGAACTTTCATATGCCCTTGAAAACTTCAGCCTCCCGGTTTATCAGTCTAGTTAACTTCTACAACCTGCGTTTTCTCTCTATTTTAGCCACCCATTGGGATTGAACGTTCAGACAATCTGTCCATTACCCGTAATTGCTGCCTCCATGATCCAGAGCTCTGAAATTCTAATTTCCTGTCTTTACATCACTCTTCTGCCTCAGTCCTCCTAAATGTATACTTTGTCCTAACTATGGCTTTGTGCCTTCCTAAGTTCCAGACTTCTCTCTGGCCTCACTTTACTGATTATCTGGTTTATTTATATACTGTCATCTACCCTTGAATGCCTTGCCCTCTTTCCAGTTTTGCCATACCAAATCCCAACTTAGCATACACATTTTCTGTTCGTACTTAATTACTTTGGAATGCTGCTGGACAGAGTTAAATAATTGTACTAAGTATAAATTTGTCATATTAATTCAACTGACTCTCACTACTATAAGGCAATCCTTTTTATTTTTCCCTTATATTCTAGCATGTATACTACTGCAGCCGTTCTCAGCTTCCCTTTCTCCACCTTTACCATCTCTCATCTCATTAGGGGGCCTTAACTCCTACTTTCTGAGAAAATTTGTCGTGTGCTTTTTCCAAAACATTTCTCATATCCAGTTGCTTTTCTATATTTACACAGCCAGCACCTTAGTTCTGACCCTTATAACCTCTTGCCTAAATTATTAAAATGATCTCCTAATTGGTTTTCTTGCCTCAAGGTTCTTTCTGCTATTGTTTACCCTCTAACTCAGCTGTCAGAGTAATTTTCCTTAAGCACAGATCTGTCACCCCTCAAAACCCCAAATTCCTATGGCTTCCCATTGCCTCTCGGCTCAAACATAAACTCTTTTGTTTAGCTTTTAAAGCCCTTCACAACCTGGCTCCAGCCTGTCTTTCTAGCCTCATTGTGTATTATACTCCATGCCCCACATTGTGATCAGCCACACTGGCCCTTCCCTCTTCCTCACATATGACACTGCATCTCCTATCTCCATGCTTTTGCACAGGTAGTCCCCCATGTCTTTAATGTACATCCTCTTCTCTGTCTCATACAATCTCTCTTTCAAGATGCAACTCAAGTAATGCCTTCTGTTGAAGCCTTTCCTGACTTCTCCTCTCCCCCGGTGCTGGTACCCTTCCTCCCAAACTACTTTGTATTTATTCTCTTCATATTTATTCTGTATCTACTTATATATGTGCTTTTCTCCATTGGAATGTAATCCCTGAAGTTAGGAATTAGTTTGTTTTTTTCTTTAATCTCTAGCACCTAGCACATAATAGGCACTTAAAAATACTTATTAATTGATTCGTCTTTGTTCCACACCCCCCCCAGTCTTACTTCCTTTTATTCATACTCTCAAGTGGCACCTCTTACCCAAAACCTTCCCTTCGTACCCTTCACCCTCAGTAGAATGTTAGCTACTTCAGGGTGAGAGACTGTTTCATAATTGTCCTTGTATCCCCAATACCTAGCACATTGTCTTGCATGTTGTCAATGCTTAATCAGGGTTTGTTGAATTGAATTTAGTGTTTATGATAAATTTTAACCATGAGCGTTCAGCAGATACCTACCACAGCTATTTTGGATCAATTTTCTTCTCTTTTTTTTCCTGTAAAGAAATTAACACCTTTTATGAAATAATGATTTTAATTTAAAACAATAACTCAGCAATTGTGGTTTTGGAAATATCCCTAATTTGAAATAATTCACTTGTCAGTAATCAAATAGCTTTTTCCTATCAAAATGTAGTCAGTTTCACTTAATTACCATAGGGCCTATTTAGAGTGTCATTTTTTATTTGAATCTTGTGAAATTATGAATAAGCAGAAAAAATGCCTATGTAAGTTACAGTCTGTGGCGGTCTGAATAAATTTCAGGTAGTTTTTCCTGTCATAGGATTTAGTACAATCTGCTCTTCATCTCCGTTTATGTATAAGACATAGGTGAGTCACCAGGAATTTGAACATAGAGATAGGTGCCACTCTTTCTAAACCTATTTTGTAGTGGTACACTGAATATTGTTTGTGCCTGGTAGGTACATCAAACAAGTTGGCATCATTATTTATTAGTCAAGGACAGTTTAACCTTTAGTTTTACCTCTTTGTTTGGATACTGGAAAATTTTAGTGGCCACCTGCTAACTGATTCTGCAGTCTTTAAACATTGGGTTCTGTTCATCACTGGATACTGTTACCGTTATTTCTTTTCTTTCTTTTTTTTTTCTTTTTTTTTTTTTTGCAAGGCAATTGGGGTTAAGTGACTTGCCCAGGGTCACACAGCTGGTAAGTGTCAAGTGTCTGGTCTGAGACTGGATTTGAACTCAGGTCCTCCTGACTCCAGGGCTGGTGCTCTATCCACTGTACCACCTAGCTGCCCCTCTGTTGCCATTATTTCAAGAATTTCAGTGTTAATGTTAATGATAATAGTGTAGATGGTTACAATTTATATTCACCCATTCAGTGTGTTTTTTATTTTTCGTGTACTACCTACAAGTCTTATTTATAATAATCACTATGGATTTCCTAGAACATTAAGACATAATTGTGAGGTTAGTGGAACTTGGCTAATTTGTACTGAAACATTTGGACAAGTAAGTTTCATACAAGGCAAAATATGGGGGGAAAGTACAAATACAAAGTTCAAAATAGGAAGTGATAATTTCATGGTACAGTGAAAAAAGCACTAGATTTGGAGTTAGGGAGCTTAGACTACAGTCTTGGTTCTGCCATTTACTGTCTGTGTGATCTTGAGTAGGTCATGTAACACCTCTGGGCCTCATTTTCCTTATCTGTGAAATGAAGGTTAGATTTAGTCTATGATATGTTTATATGCATTTTAGTAGTGAGTAGATTTTTTTCAGACTTAGGGAATTGTTGGATGTCTGTTGTCTAGGGTTTAGTTTTTTCCTATCTCCCAAGATGGAAGAATGTCATCAGCATAGTGTATAGTTGATTTTTTAAAGGTAATATCAAAAGGTAGGACCAGTAGTAGAACATAAATAAACTGTTAGGTTAGGTTATTTCCAGTGAAAATAACTTGTTTATTTGTTAACCTATATTCTCAATGTCAAGAGAGTATAAGTTGGTTTGCTAGGTTTGGGTGCCATGGAAAATTCTGGGAAAAATATGAAACAGGATGGATAAAGTAAAAACGAGGTCACTGTTGAATAGATGATGCTACATGTAGCCCAGAAGATGGTTATACATCACATTTTACCAAAAGATGAGAGTTTGGCAAATGTTATGTACTATTGCCACAGAGTAGTTTCTACTGGATTGGTATTAAAAGGTAGGACCAGTTGGAACTTTGCCTCTTTTTGAATCCCTAGTGCTTAAACACATAATAGGTGCTTAATAAGTGTTAATTGACTGACCAAGTGGAAGCCTATCCTGCAAATTTTTCTGGATCTTTTGGTTCTATGTAAAGAATGCTTTGTTTGTATTTCACCTTATAAGGAATGTCATGCATTTGAATGAGTGAAAAGATTTCAAGGTTTCCTATAAGCTTTGTGCTAATCCTTGGGGATGCAAGTACAAGGCATTTGACAAATAATCTAAATTGTTTTCTGATGGTTTAAATGTGGTAGAAGACCAATAGGGAACTATCGGCATACTATCTGCCATTAGTTTATAAATCTATTTCTGTTATAGTACATACTTAAAGTTAGTGGCTAGTGTATATAATCACAACTTGCATAATTTTGTTCAGTGCAATTTTAAAATTAAATACCAAAATATAGTGTTTAGCCACACCTTCTTGATATTCTTTAGATGATCAATAGTTAATGTTTGAATTTTTAAAACTAAGCTAAATTTCTCTTTTTTTGATGCATTTGTCTCTGGTTGCATACTTAACACAAAGATAAAATGAAGGGTAATTCTAAAATCATTTCAGCTCAACTCATATTTTATGAGACTCAGATGGCCTCTTTTTTGAGTGGGGAAAGGTGGGCATAGGTATCTGAGAGGTATCTATATGTCAGCATCTTAAGTCCATGAAAAATCAAGCACTTATTTATAAATTTCTCTCCACTCTTCCTTGCATATACACCACCCTCAACATACTTGCAAAATGAAGGTTTTTATTTCATTTTTAAAGGACTTTTTTTGCTTAATTTATCACTAAATTTTAGTTTAAATAATAAATCCAGTAGCCTGAGTTTTTGAAACATAATCATCTTAAAACAAATAGTTTAGACTAAAATGTGCTCTTATTTTGAACTTTATTATTTCTGCCTTGTTTGTAAATCATACTTTCAAATTTTATAAAGTCAGATGTGTTGAATGTCATTTTCTAGCATGTTTACAAATTATTTGGGACTAATCATGCATGTGGCTGAAATTTTAAAATTGTGCATCTTTTGTGTGATTTTTTTTTCGTACTAACCCATTTGATGAACATACTCTGAAGGAATTGGTAAATTGTCAACTGCCGATGGTAAAGCCTTCGCAGATCCTGAGGTGCTCCGAAGACTGACTTCTTCTGTCAGCTGTGCGTTGGATGAAGCAGCTGCTGCTTTAACACGAATGAGAGCAGAGAACAGTCATAATGCAGGACAAGTGGACAAGTATGTATTTGATAACTTGAGAGTAGTAGTTTTTCTTGTGGGCAATTTCTAGGAACAATAATTTCCATTGAATATTTTATCTATTTGGGAGGAACCAATAAGGCTTTAATTTGAGATATTGCTGTAATTTTATTAACTTTGTTAACTTATTGAGTGCTTACTATATTTTAGACACTGTGGTAGAAACAAATGAGTAGGGTGCTATCCTTGCCTTCAAGGGAAGTTACCTTTCTAGCAGATGCAGTTTTATTTGATTTAACTCTTAGATTCTAGGTAGATCCTCCTATGTGTGTACTGATATTTCAGCTAGTTAATGAAATGTGTTGAGTGGAAAGAAAAATAGAAATACACATTAAGGTAATTCACCTGTTTCTAACTTGTTTTAAAATAAACATGTTTTTAAGAGTCTGGTGTTTTTATTTTTTTGTTTTAAAAACTACATCTTTTTTAAACTTTGAATCATTTGTGGATAACAGCTTATAATGATTCAGTAGCAGAGGTTTAGAGACTTTTTAAAAAATATTTTTGACTCTTTAGTGTTGTCTTGACCGTAGCACATTATAGCATTATAAACTTTAGCAATTATTTATTGAACATTTCTTTATCCTTTGATTTTGTTTTTTAGTCGCAGTTTGGCAGAAGCTTGTTCAGATGGGGATGTGAATGCTGTCCGCAAATTGCTAGATGAAGGAAGAAATGTAAATGAGCATACTGAAGAAGGAGAAAGTTTGCTTTGTTTGGCTTGTTCAGCAGGGTACTATGAATTGGCACAAGTGAGTAGAAATGTTCACATTAGGAGGATTTTGGCATTCTTTTTATGTCCTAGTTTCTTTGAAATATAATTTGAAATATATTTAGAGGGTGTAGCTTTGTTTCACTAATACTAGTGAAATAATTCAGTTATTTTTACATATGGCTAGTCATTCATATTCCTCATTCAAATATTATACAGGCCCAACACATATGAGTAAATAAGAGAGTTAAGAGGCATGTTATGTAGAATTTTTGGGAGGAGGGGTGTACAGTTTTTAAACTGTTAGAGTATAAGAGTAATTTATCTGCATTTAGAATAAATTTTTAGTTTTCTCCTAGCAGTATAGAAACTAGACTCTTGAAGTCTACTCAACCACATAGTAGCTTTCACACATACAGATTTGTACTCTTTAAATAGTTTGGTGGGAAGAGCATTGAACATGGAGGCTGAAGACAAATTGCTTCCTTTTATGGCAGAAAGTGCTGTTAGTGAACTTGACAGATTTGAATAACAGACATTGATAGAGTCTTTAGCACTTACTATGTGCCAGGCAGAAGTCCAGAGAGTGAAGCAAGCAGGGTTTGAAGTGTGACTGGGGTCCCTCAAGAAATGTTGATCTGAGCAAGGGAGTGATCAATCTATAGTAGTATGGGCCGCAGGGTTGGAGGTTTCTCTAGGATGGGAAGGCAAGGGGAAGAGATGCTCAGTTTAAAAACCAACAAACAAACAAAAAAAACCCCCACATAATTTATTCTATTCTTTGGATTTGCTTACTAAAGGAAAAAAATTACCCCAGTTTTTGTGGATTCAGCAAAAATGGTATGAACTCTAGTAATTATGAGCTCACATGACTATTTTTGAATGCTTTTTTTTTTTTAAAGGTATTGCTTGCTATGCATGCAAATGTTGAAGATCGAGGGAATAAAGGAGACATAACTCCTCTAATGGCAGCTGCCAGTGGAGGCTATGTAGACATTGTGAAGCTGTTGCTTGTTCATTGTGCAGATGTCAATGCCCAATCTTCAACAGGTATGTATTATCAAAGCATATACAGCATGATGGACAGAAGACAACTTTAGTTTATATCTGTATTTATCACAACTCTCTTTTTGTAGAGTTCCAGATTTTGTTTATCAATAGTTTTTATTTTAATAATTCTGAAATTAATTTAAAGATATTCTTGCTTTTTAAAGAATTAAAACGTTTCCTTTGGATTTTTACAGTAGTAGTGACCCATATGCCACCTAGTGCCCCATGTTGTTTAACTGTGCCTGTTCCCACAAGTGGCTAGTTGAAATTCAGGTTGAGTATAGAAATAGAGTTAACCTTATAAACATGATTATCTTGAAACCAACTGATAAAACAATAAGCATTTGTTTAGTGCTTATTGTGTGTCCAATGCTATGCTAGACCCTGTTGAGGATACAGAGTTTTAAGAAATGATTCTTAAAATTGAGCAGTTATTATCTAGTTTAAGAGATTAGACTAATTTTTGTGAAATCATCAGAGAAAAGTTAAATGGAAATGAAGTTATTAAATTATGATCTCAAATGCTGTATGGTATGGTATAGATGAAAAACAGCTAAAAAATGACTACTGCTAAGAAAATAGTCTTGATAAAGCCTTACATTTCTTTCTGCTACCTAGTTTTTGCTGCATCTGTTTAATACAAAGAAAGAAAGTTGAGGGTGTTCCTTCTAGAATTTTAAGGAGGTGGAATGTTTATCTTAGCTGTGGTTGTGATTAGTATAGTTTAATTGCAATTTTTTACTTTTTTCCCCTGATTTGTTAGGAAACACAGCACTAACTTATGCTTGTGCTGGGGGATTTGTGGACATTGTAAAAGTGCTGCTGAAAGCAGGAGCTAATATAGAGGATCACAATGAAAATGGACATACCCCCTTAATGGAAGCAGCCAGTGCTGGTCATGTGGAAGTTGCTAGAGTTCTCCTGGAGTATGGGGCAGGCATCAACACTCACTCAAATGAATTCAAAGAGAGTGCACTTACACTTGCTTGTTATAAAGGTAGGTGCTACTACGTATTACATGTCAGGGTTAGTGGTGGCAGGGTTTTTAAATGTCAAAAATTAGAATATCCCAGCTGAGCACAATATGTAATGTTGCTTATATTCTTAGTTATGTGGTGGCTGTGATTGGAGTTAATTTTTGTAATTTTTTTCAACCTACGTGTAAAATTCTCAAATATTCAAGAAATCCCAATTTGATTTTTATGTTCATTGGTTTCATATAAGAGTTAAAAACTTATCAAAATATGATTTTTTGTTATAGAATATCTTTACTTTGATCTAAAGAAAAAAAATTTCCCTTGATAGGCTATGAGATCCATGATATGAATAATCAGATTTAGAAGATTGCCATTATTTTAAATGGAATTCTATGTAGTTACTTATTTTTACCTTTTTAGTTTATGGTACAATTTGAGCTATAACCCTTGTGACAAATATATATAGTCAAGCAAAATAAGTTTCCTCATTGGCCCTGTCTGAAAACTATCTAATTATGTACCGTGTCCACTTTTCTCTCAAGAGGGTGGAGGGGAGGGGTACTTCATGATAAGTTCTCTGGAATCATGGTTGGTGGTCATTGCATTGATCAGAATTTTTAAGTCTTTGAAAAAGTTGTTTGTTTTTACAATGTTGTTGTTTATTGTATAAATTATTCTTGTTCTGCTCACTTCCCTCTATCATTTCATCCAAGTCTTCCCAATTTTCACTGAAAACCATCCCTTTCATCATTTCTTCTGACATAATAGTATTCCGTTACATTCATACAATATAATTTGTTCAGCTGTTCCTCAGTTGGTAAGCACTCCTTTAGTTTTTAGTTCTTTGATACTGCAAAAAGAGCTGCTGTGAATATTTTTGTACAGATAGGACCTTTTCTTTATTCTTTGATTTCGTTGGGATATAGGCCTACGTAATAGTGATATTATTGGATCATAGTTACAGTTTAGTAACTTTTTGAGCATAGTTCCAAATCATATTTCAGAATGGTCTTAGTAATTTGTAGCTCTGCCTACAATGCCTTGATATGTGCCTGTTTTTCTCCAGTTGTCTTTTCTCTAGCAAATGTCATTTTCATTTTTTGGTCAGTTTTGCCAATCTGGTAGGTGTGAGGTGAAGCCACAGAGTTGCTTTAATTTACATTTCTCTAATTGTGATTCAAAGCATTTTTTCACATGGCTATCAGTAGCTTAGATTTCTTCCTTTGAAAACTGACCATATCCTTTGATCATTTATAAATTGGAGAGAATGACTCTTACTCTTATAAATTTGAATCACATTCTTATTTACATATCTTCAAATGACCTTAGTTTTCATATTTAATTTAAATATTTCTGACATGATGAATAAGTGAATCAAAGAAAGCCTCACAACATGAAGAATGTTATTTCTTGAATTGTGAGCAAAACGTTTAAAAAAAACCCACTATCAGTGCATGTCAGCTTTTATAAAATCTTGTCATTGGTGTTTCAAATTTTACTGTAAAAGGAGTATTTTACAAGCTTTCATAGTAAATGAAATAAAATTAAGGTAACACCTTAATACATAACCCTTTTTTCAGTTATTTCTTTTGAAGCATTGTTTTAAAATATTATGTATCTTTTTTTCTGAAGGCCATTTAGATATGGTTCGTTTTCTGCTTGAAGCTGGTGCAGATCAAGAACACAAAACTGATGAGATGCACACAGCTCTAATGGAGGCCTGCATGGTAATGGTTTTTGAGTTGAATTCATTTAAGCTTTTTGAGGGGAAAAGAGAAAAATATATATTTATTTTTAGTATTTCAGGATATAGGAAACAGACTTTAGTTTCTAAAATTTGTTACTTTAGTTGTAAGCAAAGTTTAGTCAACTCAGCACCGATAAGACATTGACAGTTTATAAGTTAAGTGCCAACTCTGGCGTGCCTACTTATTTTTTTCTTCTGTTTTCATGACTTAAAAATGATTTTGACATAAATACAATGACACTTTATTTTAAAATGTAAAAAATCATTCTCAGCTTGGTGGGTACAAAAGCAGGTGGTATAGATGAATCAAGGAAGAGATCAGTGGCACAACCAACCCTACATTGATATTTAGGTTCATAAAATAGTAGTTGTGGGTTGGGGCAGGAGTTAGCAGATTAACTTTCTAACTAGTGGATAATCAAGAATTGACTGTAATCTAAGCAACTGATAAAAATCACTTTTATTTTTTCATAACATAGAGTCATATAAACATTTTTTAAAATCCCTTAAGACTTAGAGTTAGGTCTCCAAGGTCCTGGATTCTGGCTGGAACTGCACTCAAAGTATGTTGTTGGAAAATTACTTTGTTTTTTAAATTAACGACTTAATGGGTTTCTTTGTAATTTTATTATCATAGAAGGCCAGAGCTATGTTTGCTGATATGGGGAGAGGGGTAGACAATGCATTTTTAAAATCTTTATTTTTCTTTTTAGTTAGAAATTTAATTGACTAGAATTTATATTTAATGTTATAGCTGCCCCTAAAATCTATTATCCTAATTGAGTCTTGTGCTGTCTATTTTCTTGCACTGAGTCTTTAGCTACAGTTGACTTCATTTTGGCCAATATTAAATTCAATTCACAAACATTGATTAAAAGTTTATTGTGCTAGACACTAAGAAAGGAAGTTACTGGGTTTAAGTACATGGAGGCATGGTTCCTGTTCTTCATGGAGTTTACAGGCTAGAGAGTGATAAAACTCATGCAGAAATGTATAATAGGGGACAGCTAGGTGGTGCAGTGGATAGAGCTCTGGCCTTGGAGTCAGGAGGACCGGAGTTCAAATCCAGTCTCAGACACTGGACACTTACTGGCTGTGTGACCCTGGACAAGTCACTTAATCCCATTGCCTCACCAAAAAAGAAAAAAAGTGTATAATAGGATGTAAAACATGGCATCTACAGTAATCATAGTACATAGTTAAATGCTATTATAAAATGGGGGGGGAATTAGAATCTGAAGGAGAGGAAATTGCAAGGATAAAGTTGGAAAATGGGGTATTAGTGTTTAAAATAGTTTGTCACTAATTGTCATTTTCTAAGCAGATTTGCTTAAGGTGAAATTGATTACAAGTGATTAATACTTTAATTTTATATGTATTTGAGAAATAAGAGTTAATCCACAAGTAAGATTTGTCCCATAGCAGCAGACTGTTTTATCAAGGGAAATATATAGGGCTGCTTTGATCCACAAGAGGATTTTTCTTAGTGGCGTAATCCCCAGTGGTAATAGCTACATAGAAATCAGCTATGGTTGTTTGTTTTGTTTTGTTTTGTTTTGGTGGGGAGGGGGGTGCAGAGGCAAGCCTTTGTTTTTTAAATTTACCAAGTGGCATTTTCTACACTTTATGATATAATGCCATCTGTATAATGAGAGTGATTCTTATTCAACTCCTAGGTTTATGATTTGGCAGAATTAAAAACCCTTATGTGCAACATGGTTTCTAAATTATCTTAAAGTATCCTTGGCTACTGTGTCTTCTGTTACACATTGTTTTCAGAAGAATACCCAGGTTAATATTTTTTGCATTTGATGGTATCATATCTGTCTATATCACCAATCCTAATTCTTTAAAGAAATTGTTGGGTTAATGCAAAAATTGGGATGTATCAAATATGTAATTGGCCCACATAGAGCTGAGAATTTTGAGCTTTATATAACTGATAGCATGCATCGAAGTTAATGTTCTTTTTTCCTCCCTTCTTCCTTCTCTCTTTCTACCAATTTCTTGCTTCCTTTCTCTACTGTCAACATAAAACCTATAAAAAATTTTTCCCTTGCTCCTGAAAATCCTGCAGGACGGACATGTAGAGGTAGCACGTCTACTTTTGGATAGTGGTGCTCAAGTGAATATGCCTGCAGATTCATTTGAGTCTCCACTAACATTAGCAGCTTGTGGTGGACATGTTGAGTTAGCAGCTTTATTGATAGAAAGGGGAGCAAATCTTGAAGAAGTTAATGATGAAGGTTATACTCCCTTGATGGAAGCTGCTCGTGAAGGACATGAAGAGATGGTGGCCCTCCTATTAGCACAAGGTAGGAAAATTTTACCTCTGTTCTTTTGCTCAAGTTGGTTTGGATGTCTTATTCAAGGATGTTAAACCAGATCATTAAACTTAGAGTTTCTTTCCAGCTTTATATCCTATGAACATATGCAGTTGCTACTAAATTTTATTTTTAATCACATAATTGTTACATATCAATACAAAATACTTGTTTGCATTGGTGACAAACTAAATGAATATAACAGAAGTAAAGAAGGCAGAAATGAATATCTGAATTTTTTGTGAACATGTATTTTAGGAAATTTTGATAACTAATTTAACATATCTTTGTGGCTACCCTAGGAGCAAATATAAATGCACAGACAGAAGAAACACAAGAAACTGCTCTTACTCTAGCATGCTGTGGAGGATTTTCTGAAGTAGCTGATTTCCTAATTAAGGCTGGGGCTGATATTGAACTCGGGTGCTCAACACCTTTAATGGAGGCTGCTCAAGAGGGGCACCTTGAGTTAGTCAAATATTTGCTGGCAGCAGGTATGTGAATTACTTTAAAATGCAAAAAAGGACAGTAGATTGCATGGCTAATTTTTAAAATTAATTTTAACTTTGTCAGTGGGTAGTCCTTCCATCAACAGAGATCATAACCTCTTTTCAGGGCCAGTGCTTTATCCACTGGCCAGCTGCCCCCATAACCCCTTTGTAACAAAATAGATGGTCTTTGAGAGTTGCTGAGGCCAAATAATTTATGACTGCAGTCAATCTAGTAATGAATCTTTCCAATTTACCCAGTCTAATCCTTTGAAAATGGACGTGTTGCCCCTTACCAGTCCCATGCTTTAAGCTTTTCCAGCTTGGTTTATTACCTGCTAGAGCTTGTCCTCCGTAGGCACAATCTTTGAGAAGCAAAGGTCACCCCATGCCAAAATGAGCCATCGTTGTGGGAGGACTTGAATATGAAACAAAGTTACATTTTAAAAGAGTTGTTAAGATTCCTCGTAAAGTTTTGTAACCATAAAGTACTATATGAACACTGAACTATTTATTATTTATGATTTGTACTCAAAAAGTATTTCTTGTTGAACATACTCTTTCTGTTATGTGGTTATTGATCTCTGAATCAAGAATAGTAGCTACCACCATTACCATGTCCATTCTACAAATAAGCATGGTGTCAGGGTTTTCTTAATTCTGTTTATTCTCTGGTTATCTGTAAGACTTACAGAATGGAAACAACTTATTAATGTGCAGTTTTTTTCCTCTTTGGCTGGAGGAACATAAACATGATTTGTAAATTATGTACTATTTTGCAAAAATCAAACATTTCACTCATTTTTTCAGACCAATAATTTGAAATAGCATAGATATGTTTCTGAACATGTCTATATTTGGGTTTTTAGAGTGGCAAAGTAATATTAGGAGCAGTTTATCTCCATGTACGTTAGATATCTGATTGACCATGAGAAATGATATATGGAAGTCTGAATAAATCAAAGTGCCTTCTGTTAATTCTGGAAGGTTGGTTGCAAATAAAACTTTTATAAATTAAGAAAATAAAAATTATCATTCATTCAATAAACTTCTTATGAAATGCTATTATAATTTTGGTGATAGCTTTAACTAGTACAATCTAGCCATAGTTTTGTTTTTTTTTTTTTTGCTTTGAAAAATTAATTGAAATTAAATTAGGAAAAATTAATATTTTGAATTATGCTTCAAATTTTGAGCTAATCCTCAAACCATGCATGAAAGTTTACTGTCTTCCCTTTGACAGGTGACCATAAATACTCACATACTATTAATCAGTGTATACATGCATTATTTGGCCTCTTTCCCCATTACACTCACTGGACTGTGAGAAGAATGTTCCGTAGTCTTAAGTGCTGTTCAGCCATTTTCCCTATTGTCATCTTTTCATCTACTTATTTTAAGCCTAATTGTTCTTTTTTTAACTTTATTTTTTTAAATTAATTTATTTTTAGTTTTAAGCATTCACTTCCATAAGCTTTTGAGTTTTAAATTTTCTCCCCCTCCTTTTCTGCCTCCCTCCCTAAGACAGCGTGCAATCTGATATAGGCTATACATATACATTCCTATTAAACATTTTCACATTAGTCACGTTATAAAGAAGAATTAGAACCAATAGGAGGAACCATAAGAAAGAAGAAACAAAACAGAAGAGAAAAAAAAAGAGTAAATGTGCTTTGATCTGCATTCCAGCTCTATAATTCTTTATTTGGATATGGATAGTATTTTCTTTTTTTTCTTCTTCTTCTTTGTGTGTGTGTGTGTGTGTGTGTGTGTGGCAATTGGGGTTAAGTGACTTGCCAAAGGTCACATAGCTAGTACGTGTCAAGTATTTGGTCTGAGGCCGGATTTGAACTCAGGTCCTCCTGACTTCAGGGCCGGTGCTCTATCCACTGTGCCACCTAGCTGCCCCTGGATAGTATTTTCCATCATGAGACTTTTGGAGATGTCTTAGATCTTTGCATTGCTGAGAAGAACTAAGTCTGTCAAAGTTAGTCATCGCACAACATGGCTGTTACTGGGTACAACATTCTCCCAGTTCTGCTCACTTCACTCAGCGTCAGACCATATAAGTCTTTCCAGGTTTTTCTGAAGTCTGCCTGCTCATCATTTCTTATAGCACAATAGTATTCCATTACATTAATATACCACAACTCGTTCAGCCATTCCGCAGTCGATGGGCATCCCCTCAGTTTCCAATTCTTTGCCACCACAGAAAGAGCTGCTATAAATATTTTTTGTACATGTGAAGCTTAATTATTCTTACCAATGCCTTACATAGTTATTCATGCTTACCTGTTTTGCAACATTTGAGTATATGATCCCTAGTTATGTGGCAGAGTACGTAAGATTTATTTTATTATACTACTTGGATGATTTTTTTAATGAGGAAAATAAACATATTTTGAAAGTACTATGCAATTCTTTAATTTTACCTGATTTAGAAATTGAATGGTAAAGTGCTTTTCCTTTGTCATCTAGGGGCTAATGTTCATGCCACAACAGCAACAGGAGACACAGCTCTGACCTATGCTTGTGAAAATGGGCATACTGACGTTGCAGATGTGCTACTTCAAGCAGGGGCTGACTTAGTAAGATAAAATTACTTTTGTGTGTTTTTATATGGAAATGATCATGTTTATATTTTCCTTTTCAGAAACAGTACTGAAATTCTGTCTTGCATGTTTTATATAAATAATGTTATTAGACAACTTTTCTGTCTACCATGCATGTGCTGAATGGATGTGTCAGAATTTATAATATTGAAGGGCAAGTACCTTAGCTATTGACATTAGCTAAGTTTCTCATGTTGCTTCATGACTTTTTCAGCTGCCCTCAGTAGAAAATACCACAGATTCACTGACATGCACAGAAGTAGCCTTAGAAATATCTTTAGGAACAGCTAGGTGGCACAGTGGATAGAGCTCTGGCCTTGAAGTCAGGAGGACCTGAGTTCATATGCGGTCACAGACACTTGACACTAGCTATGTGACCCTGGGCAAGTCACTTAATCCCGATTGCCTCACCAAAAAGCAAAAAAACAAACAAAAAAAAACCTTTGGATTGGAGGTTACTTTTGTTTTTCAGATCCCAGAAAATTAAACTTTAAATAGCTTTATTGTCTCTGAATGCTTAATATGAAAACAAAGCCACTGTTTCCTCTTAACAGCTTTTATTGCTAGTTATTTCTGATCTTCCAGATCAGAAGGCAGACCCAGATATAGTAAAAAACAAAACAAAACAAAAAACCCTGTAGATTATTAACTTTGTTTTTACTCATTCTATTCCACTTTGAGAAAATAAACTTTATGAGTCCTTTAAATTTGTCAAGTGATGTGTAGCATTTCTTCCAGATCCCAGTTCTGCATATTTCTGCATAATATCCACTCAGATGTACAAAAGAGTTGTCATTTAGTTGCCATAACTTGTCTTCAGAAACTTTGAAATACGCTTTATGTATTTATTCTTGTGTTCAACTAAATTTTTTAGGAATTCAGTTGAAAAACAAAATAGCTTGGTGTGACTACGTATTCTATAACATTTGTTTTCAAAACAGTATACCACCAAAAAAAATAGGATTGTAAAAATATAACTATTTCTAATAATAATTAAAGGACTTTAAAGGTACTTAGCATTCATTCATATCCATAGAGACCTTACTCTGTAAATTAAACCTGCAAGAAACCTCAGTTCAAAACAAAACAAAACTTCTAGCAGTACTTTGCTTTTGATGATAATAATAAAAGATTTGTTATGGAAATCAGATTACTTTATCACCTTTCTAACATTTCCTTCCTCTTTCAGAATGGTACTTCTGTAGAATGTATAGGAAAAGGAGAGCTGAAATATTTATCATTTGATGGAAAAGGATTTAGATATAGATCAGAAGTTTATAGATACTCTCATAAAAGTTTAATTCTTGTCCTCTAAATTTTTATCTAGAACATCTCAACCATACCTCTTTTACGTGGAAGAGTATTGTATCTTTTATGTATGTTCTAAGTCTTTTGTTTAAAAAGAAAAATCTCTAGGGGCAGGTAGGTGGCGCAGTGGATAGAGCACTGGCCCTGAAGTCAGGAAGACCTGAGTTTAAATCTGGCCTCAGACCAAACACTTGACACGTAGTAGCTGTGTGACCTTGGGCAAGTCACTTAACCCTGATTGCCTCACCCAAAAAAAAAACCAAAACTCAGCAAAGTTAAAAGGAATTTTAAAGTGTGGCAAACCTCACAAACTTCAATTAATTGATGGAAAACCCAGTTTGAATTAGTGAAAAATGCAAGTCAGAAAGTATGGTTCTATTATTTTCTAGAGAAGCATGGTATAGTGCAGTGTGTGCTCAGAAGGCTTGACTTTTATCAGCTTTGTATTATTTAATGTGTGACCCTGGACATTTTATTTCTTTTGTGAGTACTTCATCTGTAAAATGAAGGGGTTTTGATCTCCAAGATTCCTTGTAGTTTTAAAATTCTGTTTTCATGTGTATTAACTGAAGAAAATTATAATATTGACCCTTTGTGTTCCAACAAGTAATGAATAGATAAAAGAATGATATTTAAGAATGTTTAGAATTTTGGATAAATTAGAGTGTTTGTTATTAGCTGCTTTTAATGTAGTCAGAGTTGTTTAGCTTGAAATATACTTACGTAAGATGGCCCAAAAGTCTTAATATAGTTTTATATTTTAATGGCTTTGGAAATATAAATGTTACAAATTTATTTTTAAATACTTGAAAGATTAATTATTTAGATTTTTAAAATACTGATGTTTCTTACTAAATTTAAGATAATAAATGTCTTGTACTGTAATGATTCTACTTGCTTTTCCAAATTTATAAAAACTTTGATCATTGGCTTCTCAGTATCTGAAGGGGTTACATTTGTAGTCCCTTATATTAAGATCTTCCATAGAATAAGGTTTTAATGCATACATGACATTTTGGACATGACCTTGCAAGAAAAAAATCTCATGGAAATAGAACAGGTGACAGTCTGAGAAAGTCATGTGTGATGCATAGCTGTGTCTTGTTAAAATAAAAATAAAAATTTATTCAAAATTCACAAAACTAAGTGTAAAATAAATTTAGATAATTGGATTTTCAAATTTGGCGGGGTATGTTTGTAGCATTTATGCTACAGGAACTGGAGCTTAAATTAAAACTGCACCAGGACTTTTGGAACACCTTGTATTTAAGAAAGGCTTAGATAAAGTTTAAGAAATAGGAATCTGTAACAGATTATAAAGAAATTAAGGAGGGCAGCTAAGTGGCACAATGGATAGATCACTGGATCTGGAGCCAGGAGGACCTGAGTTCAAATGTGGCCTCAGACATTCAACACTTATTTATCTGTGTGACCCTGGGCAAGTGACTTAACCCCAATTGCCTTGCAAAAAAAAAAGAAGAAGAAGTTAAGGACGTTTAGTGTATAATAGCCCTAGCCTTTTGAGGTTGATGACATAGAAGGCAACTATTTTATCCTCCTAGAAAATATCGTTTGGTTTGGTTCTCAGAATATTGGACTCTGGTTCTTACTCAATAAGAATAATTTCTTATTGTCTTAAAATGATTTTCCCTTAAATAGATTAAAATATTCTCCTTGCAAAAACTTGGCCATATTTTAAACCCTTTCTTTGCAATTGGAAGGTATTCCCAGTACACATTAAAATATTATTAAGAGTTTCTTATTTAATAGAATCTACACTAATTAAATATTACTCTTCTTTTTCATTTTACACAGTATGTTATCTTTCATTTCTTAATCTGTTAAAATATATTTCTTAGTATTCAGATCAAAATTAAACTTTTACTTTGGAGACCCTATTTTGTACATAAGTACAAATTTTTGGTAGTAGGTTTTATAGCATACTTTTTCTTAAACACAACTTAGTGTTGATCTTTTTCCCTAGAGGTGACTACTGAAATGCCTGGATTTAAGCTTCAAAGAATTTCTTAGGACAAACCTATATAGATAAAATGAGCATTGATCTTTTTGGAGGAGTTCTCTTGGGGAGGTAGTGAGGAAGACCTAGATGGAAGAATTGTTTTCCTTTGTGTTTATTTCTAAGAAGAATATTCTGTCAGTGTCAGAACATTTAGGTTTGTTTAATAAGACAAGCTACAGGAAATTTACATGAATTTCAAATGTTGAGTTACATTTTAAATTTTCCTAAAGTCCTACTCTGATTTTGCTATGGAGGTTACTCTTAAGATACTCAAAGGTGGTAACCTGCAGAGCACAAAAGCTGAGCAGGTCCTACCTAACTGGCTTTGAGTGTTGGCGCAGTCAGGTACTACCTAACTGGCTTTGAGTATTGGTGCAGTGGTCAGCTATAAATGTTCACTGTTGGAGGATCAGCTCAGTTAAGTTCAAAGAGGTTCGTCACAAGTTTGGCAACAGAGTAAGGAATTTTTTGGCCGCATCAGCTCATATTAGTTGTAGATGGGATACTTTATATTGACTGAACACTGAATAAACAAACCACAGATTATTGTCTATTTTAAATTTTTATCACATTTTGACATTAAAACAGGAATGATTGCTCATCATAAGTATAACTTGCTTTGTTGGTGTTATTTCTAATCTAACTGCATAAATAAATTGGGCTTATTAAACTATTAAGATAAAATTGAGATACTTTAATAGTAGTTAATTCCAGATGATCCAATACACATAATTTAGAATTGACTTTTAAAAAGGAATTCAGTAGTTTTCTCATCTTATAGATTTCTTTGTAACTGAAAATTGCTGGTTTACCTGAATTAATTTAATTAATTTTTTTAATTCAGGTGGAGGTATCTGAAACTTTTTGATATACTTCATAATACTGGTATTTAGGCTCTCCTATAGATTAAGTATTTTTTAAAGGTGATAGCAATTTTAATGATTAGTTAAAGAAAAGAATGCCTGGCAGTACAGAATAATAAGTATCCTTTTCTGTGTTACAGTGACATCTATTATAATGATACCAAATTATACCTTAATGGAAAAAAATGTCAGTGTTTGAAAAATACTGATGCCATTGCTGAAGACTTCAAGACCATCTCAGCATCACCAAACTGCACAATATAACAACTAGTTGTAGAACTTCAGAAAGCTTCCCTTAAGATTGTTATCCTTAGGCTAAACAATTCTTCTTCAGTTGCTTTTCTAATATCCGTTAGCATTATATGAATGGCCCTTATCTGTCATCCAGATATTTTCCATTATAATGTAGAACATTGTACCTGGCAGTAAAAATTATAGTTGTTAGGGTTCCCCCCCTTTTCCTGATAGCATCTTTATCTTTGTTAGGACTAGGTTTGTTTTTCTGTATTTGGTGCCCACAGGCAAACAGAAGGTCTGAACTCATGTAAGAGAATTTATATCAAAGGAATTACCAATTGCAGGCCCTCTGGAATACCTACTCAAGACGAAATAGTAAGGACTTTCTTTCTTTGGAAGACCCACTTAAATCTGGTTCACTGAAAGATATAGAAGTATTTTGTATATGCTTGATTTCCCTGAAAATTTGTTATCTAATATGCTTGACTAAATAGATTTCCTTCTTAAACTAACAAGCCTTTATTTTAATTTCCATCATACTTTGTTTT